TGGAGAAAAGCATTAATGAAGCTAAAACTATGCTAGAGAGCAGCATTAATGACACAAAGAACATGAGCAAGAATGACGACGAAACCCTTAAAACTACGTTAGAGAAAAGCATTAATGAAGCTAAAACTATGCTAGAGAGCAGCATTAATGACACAAAGAACATGAGCAAGAATGACGACGAAACCCTTAAAACTACGTTAGAGAAAAGCATTAATGAAGCTAAAACTATACTACAGAGCAGCATTGATGATACTAGGGATACGAGCAAAACCGATGACAGTGCACTTGAAGCAAGACTACAGAAAAACATTGATAACAGCATCGAAAAATGCATGAGTGTGAACACGACTTTGACTGCCAAGGTATATAATATATACTATATATAACTCCTTGTATGTTATACTAACTCAGTGCTTGTTGTTGTAGATTGACACGGTCTCTAAGATGGAAGGACCACGTGGTTTCAATGGCAGTCAAGGAGTAAAAGGAGACAAGGGAGATACWGGAGCTGGAAATCTAACACAGTGTGTTGTCAAAATTTTATCGTCGAATGGGACAAGCCCACTGGGCAATAACGCATCTGAATCAGTGTCAGTAACAGAAGAAACGGTATGTTTATATCTCTAGGATTGATTGTCATTAGTGCATCATTAACAAAACGTTCAAAAACGTTCGTGTTCAAAAAGTCTGATKTCTCGTCAACATTTACTGCGTACCTGCCATTATTGCTTTAGRCGAATACAGTTTCCTTCAATGGACTGTAAGGTAATAGCAATGATTTATCAAGCATTTGGGTCTACAAGGACTGACCTCCTCTAAGACTAGTTGAAATGCTAGTTGTGTGTACTATGTTAAGGCATTTTGATATGATTCAAACTTCCCAGTCTCAGATACCGCACGCTTCTCCAAACAAGAGCTTGATATGTAAAAAGTTGAACGGTTTGCTATATACATCCGATAAATAACTCAAATAATCTTCTTTTTTCAGGGAAAAAAGATTCTTCATTTTTCATGCTCATCAAACAACGCAGACATTGTGCAAAGYCTAGAARAWAMCAATAATAACAAGAAAGAATATACCTGTCAGTGCTTAGGACAAGGAARCTATAATTTTATGACCATGGGTGCTCCACCTACTCCAACAAACATGTTATGTTACATAACTTACACAGAATGTCCGCTTATATCTTAACAGTAGAGCTCTTTATCACTGAAAATTGTACAAAATAATACTAAATGATGCAATACTGATAAGTAGTAATTAGTAATARTTTCACGGATTAAAGTGCGCCCACTCTACAAATACGTGCTAGAGTGCGACCAGTGAAATAGATATTGCACTATTAGGCACCTTAGTACGCTCTAATTTCATTGTATTCTTTTGTGTAAATTTGACTTACATCATTGATAGACAAATTCTGTTTCACGCGTTGAATGACTTCACTCTAAACTAAGCTTATTCATCTAATTTATATTCTCTTGATGAGTGAATTCATTTGTTTTCTTGAATAACACTAGGTATACCAAGTATGAACACAAACTCACTCAATTTTACACATGAATTTGACGGTTTTGTTTGAGATGTTTTTTCTTACAATATGTGTACTGTGCGCTGTACGCTTTCTTCATCTGAG